CAAGTCAACCTGGAAAGCCAAACAGATAAAGTCTACATCACCTGTTGATATCTCTTATGAAACTGTGTCTCATTATTACTGGTTGGCAAGGTGTAAATCCAAGAGAATGTGTGCAGCTAGGGACAGGCTCTTCACACTACCTGAAAAGCTCACAGATTTAGAGTTTTTATCAGTACTGGAGATTGAACCAAGGTTCCAGACATGCTAGGTAAGCATTCTACCACTGAGGTAGATCCCCCCAGTCATTTATTTATTTATTGAAATTTTATATCATTGTGTGTGCACATGATGTATGTATGTGTGTGTATGGTTTCTCACATGCCTCTTGTGCGGAGGTCAGAGGACAACTTTGTGGGGTTGGTTTTCCCCTTCTACCTTTAAATGGGTTCCAGGGATCAAACTCAGGCCATCAGGCTTACATAGAAAGCTTTACCTGCTGAGTCATCTTGCCAGCCCTGAACCCTAGGGATTCTCTCTCTCTCTCTCTCTCTCTCTCTCTCTCTTTCTCTCTCTCTTTCTCTCTGTATTGATACCATGTGTGTATCAGGTTGGTTGTGAAATGTCCCCCATAGGCTCATGTGTTTGAACACTTGATTTTCAGCTATTAATGCTATTTAGGAAGATTGTGGGGCGTTTAGGAGGTAGAGTCTTGCTGGAGGAAGTATGTTCCTGAAGGTGGGCCTTGAGGTTTTATAGCCTGGCCCACGTCCTCTTCTTCCTGTTCTTTTCTGTGCTTCCTATGTCCAAAGCAATGCAACTACTGGTTCATGCTCCTGCTACCATGTCTTCCCTGCTATGATAGGCTGTTTTCCCTTTGGAATTGTAAGCTAGAATAAATCTTTTTCCTTAAATTGCTTTGTATTTTTTTTTGTCATAGTAACAGGAATATAAACTAAAACAATGTTTGTGTGCAGTTTTACATGTGTGTTTGTACCTGTGTGCAAGTGTACATGGAGGCCAGAGGTTGAATTCAGATGCCTTCTTCAATTGCTTCTCCACTTTATTTCGTTTGAGACAAGGTCTCACTATGCATCCCTGCCTGACCTGGAGCTCTATGTGTAGTTCAGGCTGGCCTTGAACTTGAAGATCCACCCAGCTTCTGCCTCCCAAGTGCTGGAATAAAGGATAAAGGTGTGCACCACACCAGCCAGCCCCCACCTTTTTTTTTTTTTTTTTTTTTTAATCAGGACACTTCACTGAACCTGGAGCTCACAGGTTCAGCTAGAACAGCTGTCATCAAACCTTAAGGATCCTCCTGTCTCCATCCCCACAGTGCTGCACCCAGCTTTTCATGTAGGCACTGGAAAATCCAAACTCAGGTCCTTATGTTTGCACAGCAAGCACTTTATTGACGGAGCCATCTTCCCAGACCTTATATTTTTTATTTTGAGATAAGGTCTCACTAAGATATCCATGTTGGCCTTAAACTTGTAATCCTCCTACCTCCACTTCCAAAAAGTAGCTGAGATTACAGGTCTACACTACGAGGCCTGGCTATTTTGACATGCTAATTGTGGGACCCTGACTCGGCTAACCACTTCTTTCTGCTTCTGTAATCTGCTTGGCTTAAGACAGCACTAACTCCATTTCGACTAGCTGTTTCAGGCAAGCCTGGGCATGCCCAGGCATGTTGTAATCTTCAGTTACCACCCCCATCCCGGAAAGCTATAGATCAAGCAAGCCCGGGCATATAGCAGCCTTATAAGGTAAAAACAGAAACTTCTGGCCCCACAGATAACAGCGCATCCCAATGCCCTAAAGACAGCCCCTACCAATAAGAATCCTCCCTGTATTCAGGGCATAGGACCATCCAATCATTTTAAAGGATGCTTGGCCCACGTGGGTTTCTGTGAAACTTCCCTATAAAAGCTTACCCCACCCTAGCTCGGGGCTCTCAGTACTGATCCACTTTGTAGGCGAAATCTGAGGGCCCAGAGCTTAAGCCTGAATAAAGGCTCTTTGCTGTTGCATACACTCAGGACTCCTTGGTGGTCATTGGGGGGTTGCATAACACTAATCATCTTTGATCACTATAGAGAAAGATTTTTTTTTTTTTGGTCTTTTTGAGACAGAGTCTCCCTGTAGCCCCAGCTGTCCTAGAGCTCACTATGTAGACCAGGCTGGCCTTGAACTAATGGAGATCCGCCTGCCCCTGCCTCCCAAATACTGGGATTAAAGTCGTGTGCTACCATGACCACGGCAGAAAAAGGTTTTTTAAATTTCATAACTGACTCAAAAAAGCAGGGCATGGTGACTCATGCCTTTAATCCCAGCACTCTAGAGGCAGAGGCAGGCAGATCTCTATGAGTTGAAGGCCAGCCTGGTCTACATAGTGAGTGCTAGGCCAGCTGGGGTTACAAGGAGACACTGTCTCAAAAAAGACATAAATAAATAAATAAATAAACCAGCTGGGGACCGTCTCAAAAATAAATAAATAAATAAATAAATAAAAATAATTTCATAACAGAACATGCGATGCATGCCTATAATCCTGGCACTCAGGAAGCCAGAAGGTACAGAAGGATTACCTCAAGTTTGAAGCCAACCTGAGCTACACAATAAATTTCAGGTCAGCCTAGGATACAATGTGATACCCAGACTCAAAAAAACGAAAAACAAAGAAAAACCACACCAGGGCTGAGGATGTAGTTCAATTGGTGGAGTACTTGCTTAGCATACACAAAGGCCTGGATTCAAATTCCAGCACATTGCAATCCCAGCCCTTAAGAGATGGAGGCCAGAGAATCAGGAGTTCAAGGTTGTCCTTGACCATTATTGGAGTTCAAGGCCAACCTGGGCTAAATGAAACCCTTTCTCATAAAACAACAACAACAAAACAGATAAAACCTCATAATTCTTTGAGGTAAGTACTGCTATAGTCTCTGGTTTACAAATTGTGAGCATGAGTCAGTATCAGATGAACTTGTTCATAGGAATTCAGGGTCAAGGCTGGAATTTGAACCCATGCTTTCTGATTCCAAGGTGAGTTATTTTAATCATAATGATATAGTCTCAACCATTCAAGGTGAGAAATGAGGGAAAGCTATACATCTGTATAGTAGATGATGGGGGAAGGGTTTTTTGGTAAGTAGTCCAGTCATGTAACAGCTGATTAGGAAGATATTTCAGATCATCAGGGAAGGAGCTCTTGAGCAGTTCTCCTTTCTCAACTATTCTATAGGCCCATTGTGTGCATGCCTAGTATGCATTTGGTTTCTGTACATGCAGAAAACAAGAAAAGAAATGCCATAGCTTTTTCCATACTAATGAGATATACTGCCCCCAGATTTTTCTTCCTCTTCATAATTCCATTATATTTTCCTCTGGGTGGGGAGACCATGGTAGTGGGGAGTGAACCTTGTATCTCATGCACTCGAGGCAAGCACTCTACCCCCAAGTTACAGCTCCAGCCTCATTCTGTTTATTTTTAAACCAGTTCTGTTAACATGCATGAGGTGACCTTGAAGTAATTTTTTTTCAGCATTCTGCTTTTCAGCATCAGTTAAAAGCCAAAGGTAGGTGCTGGAGAGATGGCTCAGTGGTTAAGAACACTGGCTATTCTTGCAGAAGACTGGGGTTTGAATCCCATCACCCATATAGCAGCTAACAACTGTTCATAACTCCAATTCCAGGGGATCCGACAGCCTCTTCTGCCTTCCTCAGGCATTGCACAACACGGGTGCACTTATATTCAGGAAATACACACATACACATAATAAATAATAAGGGGCTGGAGAGATGGCTCAGCAGTTAAGAACACTGGTTGTTCACATACCTACATGCAGACAATACACACATACACATAAAAAATAGTATATAAAAAAGTATTTAAAAAAATAAAAATAAATAAAATATTATTTAAAAACACCAAAGGTAGTGCCAAGTATGGTGGTACACACCTTTAGTCCCAGCACTCCAGAGGCAGAGGCAGGCAGATTTCCGTGAGATCAAGGCCAGCCTAGTCTACACAGAGTTCCAGGACAGCTGAGGCTACAGGGAAACCCTGTCTCAAAAACACCAAAAAAAAACCCCAAAGTAGCATCTGGGTCTTGCTCCTCAATAAATAAAGTGCCTTTGATCAGCTCAAAGCAACACTTGTTTTTGTTTTTAGAGTGTTTCAAGTTCATCTTAGTTCTATTATTCACCTCCTGGCAGCCTGATAACCAGGGAGTCATAACTCCCCTATCTGTGGGCTGTTTAATGACTATATAGAATCACCCTGGGAGCAATAGAAAAAGGCCTATTTCCAGATATCATGCTTTAAGACATTCAGCTACAAAGACCTTCACTATGTGAAATTTATTTTTTGATGATTTTAAGTCAGGATTTGGCCTTCTTGTCCAGAAAAGAAAAAACAAAACAAAACAAAACAAAAAAAACACTTGGACTTTGGCTTTCTGCCTCCTGAGATTCTGGCTCTAAGCCATATGACCATAAAATATGCAATTTTTCAGGCAGACAGGGAAGGTTAGACACTGGCAGTGATAAGCAGGTGGAGTCTGTGACAGGAATTATAAAGACTGTGGTAGATTCCTCTTTTTAAAATAGTCACCTCTTGTTCCTTAAAGCACAGGGGTGTCTTTCTTCCTGTCAACTTTTGCTGGGTTCTTTCTGAAAGCATGGGTCCAAGAGGCATTGAACACTCAGTTGCTTCAGGTTTTGTTGCCTACAGGTAAATATGCTGAAAGTCTGCAGCAGTGGACTTTATTATGCTTTCATATATTATGAATTCTAGAGAAGGGGTTTGCTGGAAAGCTAACTACTAGATATGGTTTACATTTTTTTTTACTACTTTTCTTTGGTCTTTTGAATACACATGTTAATCGTGTCTTTTTATACATCAACAGAAAAGCACGTCACCCTGAGAGCCACTTTTTAAAATTTATTTTTAATTACATGTATGTGTATGTGCGCGTGGGTTTGTGCACATGAGCCACTTGATGTGGGTGCTGGAAACCGAACTCGGGTCCTCTGCAAGCACAGTACGTGCTTTCAAGCGTTAAGCCATCTCTCCAGCCTCATTTCTATTTTTTTACGTTTTTTGCATGCTGCTCTTTTTGAGGCCCGTGCCCAGCTAAGTACTCCAATGTGCTTAGTTGGCCTGTCTAATACTCTTGAACTCAGCTGAGGTCATCTGGGGCTTCAGGCGACGAGTGAACAACTGGCGCGAGTCGGCGCTGTCTGGGCCACTGCTAAAGCTGGGTCCGCCCGCTCTTCTGCGCATTAGCAGACTAAGGAGGGTGCCAGCGTCTGTCATCCAGCCTGGCACACTCCGGGTGGTCCTGGTTCTGGCCGTCCTGGTTCTTGCTGGCTTTAAGCTGCCCTTTCCAGGCGGTTTTCGAACGCTGCCGCTAGGTCAGGTGAGGTGATCTGAACGTGGATGCTTGGGAAAGAAGTCGTTGGCAGCTCTGAGTTGGATGGCAAACGTGGGAAAGGGCTCGGGAAGCAAGAGCTGAGCTCCCCAGACAGCCTAATGGACAATGCCAACGCGGGACCCGAACTACAGCTCCCGGCAAGCTTTGCGCTTCGACCCGGCCGGGGCGGCCCAACATGCTCTGCGCCGGCCAGCCTGACCACTTGCGCTGCACTCGATGGGCTCGGTGCCCGCAAGGATACTCCAGTCGGCTCTATATTTTCCCATGTGGTCTCTCTTTATCCCAGCTGTCTGGGACTCCACGCTCACTAATGAAAAGCAGCCAATAATCTAATCAGCGCCAGCCAATAAAGTGCGCGGACTCAGGCCACGTGGGGCGGTGCTCCCAGAGCTCCTAGATCTCTATGGTTCTCCGCGAGTCGCTAGAGGGCGTGTGGTCCATTGGAGGACTCCCTACATTCTTCCTCCATTACCTCACTGCCTCCGGTGGCTGCTGGGATACAGGAGGACTCGGGTCCCGACTCGACTCAGTTCTCCAGCCGCCGGGGGAATACCTCTAGTTCTCCCCGGCCGCTGCCGCCCCGCCGCTTCCTTCTCCGCCCTCTTGCCGGCCTCCTCCGCCCCGCCCGGTCCACGCCGTCGGGCGTCCCCGCCTGCATTGGGCCTTTGCTTCTCTCGGCAGCCTCCACCCAGGCGCATGGCTCCATGAAGCAGAAGGAAGAAGAGGCAGAGCGCGAGAGGTCCGGTTCTCCCGGGCCGCGTTTGGGCCAGGAGAAAAGGTAGGAAAGTCTCGGGGGGCTGCGCCGCGCTTTTTTCCTATCCGGCCTCTCTAAGGCCTGCTGTGCGCCGGGGCGGAGGGTACTCTGGAAAGTGGAGTCTCGCAGGGGCCGGCGGAGGGTCCCGGGGCGCCGTGGGGGAAGGGCTCCCGGCGGCGGCGCGGGCAGGCGGGCGAGGCCTCCTCCGGGTCGCGTGTCCCCGCCGAGGACCGAGGGGATGGGAGGTCGTGGACTGGGGATCCAGGTGTCCGCCGTCGTCCCCTGCCCCGGGCAGAGCGGCCAGGCTGCAGATGGCATGGGGCTGCACTCCCTCCAGGAAACTGTCTCCGGTCCGGGGAAAGTTTGGTGGTCTCCGGCGCCGCCTGGTGGCCCCCCCACCCTCCGTCCCCTCCCCCGCCCGGCGTCTGGATTCCATCCCCGCGGCTCGGCCTCAGCTGCTCTACCCGTCGCTCTGTGGTCTCCCCAACTCCCCTAGCACCCCGTACTCTCCTGCCCCACATCCTCCTTCCTTTTCCTTTTCACCTTTTCCCTCTGTCTGCTCTGCTTCTCCCCCCTCGGCCTCTTTCCCTCTCGTCTCCTTTTCTTAACTCTTCAGTTGTGCGCTTTCTCCTCTTCCTCGTCTCCCCCTCCCCCGCTTCCCTCATTCCATATCCATCTTTCTTACACTCTGTTTTTTGCCCTTTCCTCCTCCAGCCCCTGTCCTGATCTGACTTCTTTGCTCACCCTTATTCCTCTGGGCCTATCCTCTTTCACTGCGCTCTCCCAGGATAGAGTAGGTGGGACCTGGAGTCTCATGTTTACATCAATTCTGTAGTTCTGGGAAAGTGGAGAGAGTTGAAGAGACTGTGAAAATATTTCTGCACGATCGAGAAAGGATGAATGACTCCACCAACACTTATCTCATCCTGGCATAACCAGATGCCCTGTCCTCAGGGTCCTGGCGTGTTGTGCATGAATTCCTCAGATTTGGGAGTATGTGTTTGAAACTAGTGGGAAGCCTCGAAATGATAGATCCTGGCATGAGAGCAAGTTTTGACCTAGATTAAGGGGAGGGTGTCAGCTTAATGTATGCCTCATGTTTGCATTCAATATAGCCTTTGATCCTCAGTTGTCCTCCCTTAGTGATGACTCCGCGTGAGGTGATTCAGGGCATGGGACTGCTGTTACTGCCTCTTATTTAGCCTTGAAATGTTTTGAAGTAAGGAGAGCCTGTTCTCCAGCTTTGTTGTCGTTGTTTTCTCCAAAAATTTCCGTGTTAGGTTGTAATATTTTAAATTTTTATTTATTATTTTTATTTTATGTGTGTGCGTGTATAGCCTGCGTGTAGGTAAGTGCACCTGTGTCGTGCAATGCCCGTGGAGGACAGAAGAGGCTGTCGGATCCCCTGGAACTGGAGTTACAGACAGTTGTTAGCTGCCATGTGGGTGCTGGGATTCAAACCCAGGTCTTCTGCAAGAACAACCAGTGTTCTTAACTGCTGAGCTCTCTCTCCAGCCCCAGGTTGTAATTTTTTTAGTTTTGTTACATATATTTATTTTATTGGTGGGGGGGGCATGGCATGCATGTGGAGGTCAGAGGATAACAGACAACTTGTAGGGGTTCTCACCTTCTGTCCTATAAGTCCCAGGGATTGAACTCAGATCGTCAGGTACCTGCTGAGCCATCTCCCTTGTTCAAGTTGTAAATTTTTTTTTTTGATCTTTTTTGAGACAGGTCTTACTGTAGTCACAGCTGGCCTGGAACTTACAGTGATCCATCTGCTTCTGCCTCCAGAGTGCTGGGATTAAAGGCCACCACACCCAGTGCTCCAAGTTCTAACTTTTGAAACAAATAAAATCCACCAGACCTCTACACTGACTAGACTGCTCACTGCAACCTGCATTTCTGTCTTAGGTACTGCAAGAAGGAATGGAACTGGAAAAAAGAAGATTCATTCCAGAGACAAAATAGCTCTTCTCCTCTATTCTAGCTGTTTCCCCTAGGATTACAGACTTTCTGCTTTCAGTGAGTATTACCTTGGACATATTTGGAATGGGGTTTTACTGCTTTTTGGTTTTAGGCTTGTGTTTGGATCTTAGGGTATAAGTATACTTCATATGTATTTCTCTACTTCAGTAAGGTGATTCTAATGTTGAAGTGCTACTTGTTTATTATTATACTTGTTTGTTGAGGACAGCTTGTAGGAGTCAGTTCTTTCTACCATATGGGTCTTAGGGATCAAATTCAGGTGTTCAGGCTTGGTGGCAAGTGCCTTTACCCACTGAGCGAGCCATCTTGCTGGCCCTCTACTTTTTGTGGTGGTGGTGGTGGTGTGTGTGTGTTTAATAATTTAAGAGACTGGAAGTTCAGGGGCTGGAGAGATGGCTCAGCAGTTAAAAGCACTGTTTGCTCTTGTAGAGGACCCAGGTTCGATTCCCAGCACCCACGTGGCTGCTACGAACTGTCTTTAACTCCAGTTCCAGGCGAATCCGAAACTCTTCTGACCTCTGTGGCATTGCACGACACGGGTATGCTCACATACATGTAGGCAATACACTGTACACATAAAATAAAAATAATAAAATATTTTTTTTAAAAAAAGAGAGAGACTGGAGTTCAATTCCATGGTAGAGAACTTGCTTAGCATGCACAAGGCCCTGGGTTAAATTCTCAACATTGCAAAAAACAGCTTAAAACTGTGAAGACAAATTTATTTTCCATAAGCCAGTTAGAGGGTAGCCATGTGAGCTAGAACATGCCTTTAGTTCCAGCACTGGGGAGGCTGAGGTCGGTGATTTTCAATTCAGTGTTAGCCTGAGCACTAAGCCTCTCAAAGCAAAACAAAAAAAATCATTAGAGTGCTAGAAGGCAAAGGTGCAGGGTTTTATCTCTGTTTATACTTCTAGGCTAAGGTCTAGCTCCATGCCCTTTCCATATTACCCACTTTTTGTTATTTCGTTTTGGGTTTGTTGTTTGTTTTGAGACAGGCTCTCATAACTCTGACTACCCTGGAATTTGTAGAGCAGGCTAGCCTTGAATTCAGAGATCTGCTTGCCTCTGTCTCCCATTGCTGGGATTAAAAGGATTTAAGGCTGTGCCACCACACCTGACTTGGGCCCTGTCTTTACACAGTCAAGAGCATGTACAGGTTTAAGAGCATGTACAGGTTTAAGAGCATGTACAGGTTTAAGAGCATGTACAGGTTTAAGGGCATGTACAGGTTTAAGAGCATGTACAGGTTTAAGGGCATGTACAGGTTCACTTACATGCAGGCAAACATAAAACATTCTAATTTGCAAAAGAGTTCTTCGTAGTGTTAAACATCTTGTCAGAGTCTCCCAAATTCTCTGTGAGGGAAGCAGGGGCAAAATGTCTCCATTTTACAAATGAAAGAACTGAGACCCAGAAAGATGTGGCCCATTTTGTAGGTCATATAGAAAGGGAAGATGAAAGAGGTGAGGAGCAGAAATTGAAAGTTTTAACTCCTATAATCCAGTGTTTTTCTTTAAGCTGATGTGGAAATGTAGACTGTCCTGGGGGGTTTTTTAGACCGGATCTCATTATGTATCCCAGATTGGCCTCAAACTCAGGTTTACCTTCCTCTGCACTACCATGCCTGGCCTCCAATGTTTTCTGCCATCTCCAAATGAAAAAGAAAAAGAAATATTAGGGATTTACTAGAAGCCATTATGTTCCTAAGAAGAAAGGCATCAAGGTTATAAAAGTAAATCTGCTGGGCTCAGTGGCACACACCTTTAATCCCAGCAGTTGGGAGGCAGAGGCAGGTGGATCTCTGTGAGTTCAAGACCAACCTGGTCTGCATAGTTCTAGGACAGCTGTGGCTATAGGGAGACCCTATCCCAAAAAGACAAAAAAAATAATAATAATAATAATAAACCTATGTTAAGTAATATGTTCTTTAAGACTACATGGTAACTGTTAATAAAATTGTAATGTGAGAAGATTTATTTCTCCAGCAAATTGTAAGGATACAGAATTAGCCGGGCATAGTGGTGCACACCTGTAGTCCCAGCACTTGGGAGATAGAGGCAGGAGGATCTCTGTAAGTTCAAGGCCAGCCTGGTCTACGTAGTGAGTTCCAGGACAGCTGCTGGGGCCACAGGGAGACCCAGCTTCAAAAAGACCATAAATAAATAATTAAACCACTGAGCCTCTAGGGTTATTTTTTATTTTTGAAAACAGGGTCTCCCTGTAGCTCCAGCTGGCCTGCGCTCATTATGTAGACCAGGCTGGCCTTGAACTCTCAGAGATCCGCCCAGCTCAGAACTATGCTATTTTTATAAGCAACTTTTAGTAGCGATAGTGGTAGTATTGCAACCAGCAGACAGTAAATTGTAGCCATGTGCTAAAGGACTGCCAGGTTCTGCTTAAGTCTTACTCATTCAAGACTCACAAATAGCTCTGTGTGATGGTAGGTTCACAGAGAGGTTACAGCTTGCCTGAGTTTGCACTCAGGCTTTGCACCTCTGAGTTGGGATTTGAGCCAGAGTTGGCAGTTAGATTGTTGCTCCAAAGCCGAGGCTCTGTCCTCTCAAGGTAGGAGCTGCTGTTTATTTTGAAATGGACTTAGTAGAATTGGAAAGAGACGCACAGGGAGAAAGGAAGTCCATTCTGTCTGCCCAACTACAGCAGTTAGGGTGGCCTCAAGTTCTTTATACTGACCTCAATACCTTCTTTATAAATAAGCAGTAATCTATGAAAAATGATTTGTATTAATCCCAGAAACCATAAATTACCACCCAGGCAAATAAACATTCCAGTGAATCACTCTTGGAATGTCCCGTTATTTAAAAAAATAAAGTGCAGCTTAGGTTGAATTATTTTCAGAAAGGAAGCCTTGGCCATCTCATGTTAAGTGACATCTGTGACCATGTCTGGTGTAGTTTAGCGAATATGACAGTTCCCAGTCTAATTGGACTAAGAAGTGAATTTACATGATAGTTGACCTCATTTTTAGAACAAAGTATCCAAATTGTCCCTTTTTGGAAAAAAATTTGTGTGGATACACAAATATGTGGATGTGGACAGGTGTGGAGGCCAGAGATTGATGTCAGGATGTTTTCCTCTGTGGCAGAGACCTTATCTTTCTTGAAATGGTCACTGTCTGAACCTGAAGCTCACCCATTCAACTAGGCTAGCAGGCCAACAGGTTCCAGAGATCTGTCTCCAGTTTCCCCTTTACCTACACTGGGATTACAGGCACTCACCAACACATTTAACTTTTTTTGTTGTTTTTTTTTTTGTCTTTTTAATTTTTTTGAGACTGGGTCTTACTATATAGCCCCAGATGACCTAGAACTCAGTATGTAGACAAGGCTGGCCACAAACTCACAGAGATCTATATACTACCTGGGTGCTGGGATTAAAAGTACACACCATGCCTGGCCCCCTATAGGTACTTTTGAGATAGGACCCTCACTACCAAGAAGTACTAAGATTATAAACATGAGCCATCATACCTGACCACATTCTGTAATTTTTTTTTTTTTTTTTTTGAGACGTGGTCTTCTTGTAGCCCCAGCTGTCCTGGAACTAGCTATGTAGACCAGGCTGGCCTTGAACTCACAAAGATCTGCCTCCCAAGTGCTGGGATTAAAGGCGTGCACCACCATTGCCTGGCTCTGTAATTTTTAAAAAGTTTATTTTATAAGCTGGGTGTGGTGACGCATGCCTTTAGTCCTAGCACTTGGGAGGCAGAGGTAGGCAGATCTCTGAGTTTGAGGCCAGCCTGGTCTACTTAGTGAGTTCCAGGCCAGCTGGAACTACAGGGAGAGCCTGTCTCAAAAACACCAAAAAAAAAAAAAAAAAAAAAGTATAAGATGAGCATGGTGGCACACGCCTTTAATCCCAGCACTCAGGAGGCAGAGGCAGGCATATCTCTGTGAGTTTGAAGCCAGCCTGGTCTACATGTTGAGCTCTAGGCCAGTTGGGGCTACAGGGAGACCCTGTCTCAGTAAGACCAAAAAAAATTATTTAATGTGTATGAGTGTTTTGCCTGCATATGTGTAAGTGCAGTTGTGCCTGCAGTGACCACAGAGGCCAAAAGAGGGCATCAGATTCCCTGGAACTGGAGTTATAAATGGTTGTCAGTTGCTATGTGAATATTGGAAACCAAACCCAGGTCTTCTGCGAGAGCAGCCAGTGCTCTTAACCACTGAGCTGTCTCTCCAACCCCTTGTGAATAATTATTATACTGTCTCTTGGTTTGAGCTGAAGAGACATTGTTAGACATTGAATAGATGTTTATAGGTATCTGTTGAGTCAGAGAGTATATTTCAGTTACCTTCAGATTGCTGAGACATGCCATTCAGCTCACTGGAACCAAGGAACTGTATGTAAGGTTGAACTGATTATGTTTAAAAAAGCAAGCTTGAGTAAGATCACTAAGAGTTCTGTCACTTTATTAGTGATAGGAAACAGTTTTGTTATGTACACCATATGTTATAAGCTATCATGTTAGGTACTGTGAATGACAAGAGTGCAGTTGCCACCTAGCCTCTCAAACCCTGGGGTCAAGTGAGTTTGCTACAGCGTACAGTTCCCAAGTGGCATTGCAAGACACCCAGTGAGCAAAGCTCAGTTTCTCCATATAGCTTGGGGAGTGGAGGGATTGCCCCACGTAGCCTGGAACTCATTATGTAGACCAGGCTGCCCTTGAATTCACAGAGATCTGCCTGCCTGTGCCTCCCAAGTGCTGGGATTAAAGGCATGCCCAGCTCCTAAATGTAAATTTTGTCACGGATCAGCATGTGTAAAGAACATCAATAATATTTATCGTATTCATCCTGAATTAACAGCTTGTGCAGAAATAATGACATGACAGATGGTTATACAACTATCTGATTAACTTAAAAGGTTGTTGGCTTTGGTTTTGGTGTTTTGGGGAGTGTAGTGGTTATCGTTTTGTTGTTAGCTTGAAGAAGGGTCTCACTGATTAGACCTGGCACCTGTATATAGAGAAAGCTGGCCTCAAACTCAGAAATCTGTAGGCCTGTACCCTTACACCTGGTGACTTAAAAGTTTTAAGGCTTAGCTGAGCATGGTGGTACATGCCTTTAATCCTAGCACTTGGGAGGCAAAGGCAGGTGGATCTCTATGAATTGAGACCTTGTCTCAAAAATTAAAAAAATACTAAAAAAGTTTTAAGGTTTAGAAACAAAACATATAGAAAAGTGCCTGTCTGTACAGAGAAGGAAGTTATGGTTGGGGTGTCCATGCTATTTTGGAGGTTCAGGCAAGAGAATTACTTGAACCCAGGAGTTTAGGGCCATCCTGGGCAACTTAGTGAAAATTTTTTTGGTTTTATTTTTTTGGTTCTTTTTATTTATTTATTTATTTATTTATTTATTTATTTATTTATTTATTATTTTTGTGTGTGTGTGTGTGTGTCTTTTTTTGAGGCAGGGTCTCCCTGTAGCCCCAGCTGTCCTGGAACTCGCTATTGTAGACCAGGCTAGCCTTGAACTCACAGAGATCCACCTGCCTCTGCCTCCAAGTGCTGGGATTAAAGGCGTGCGCCACCATGCCCAGCTTAAATATTTTTATTTTTTATTTTTATTTTATGTGTATGAGTGTATTGCCTGCATGTATGTGATTGCACCCATGTCATGCAATGCTGAGGAGGTCCAAAGAGGGCTTCGGATTTCCCTGGAACTGGAGTTAAGGACAGTTTGTAGCCGCCATGTGGGTGCTGGGAATCAAACCTGGGTCCTCTGCAAGAGCAGTCAGTGCTCTTAACCTCTGAGCCATCTGTCCAGCCCTGTTTGTTTTTGTTTTTGTTTTTTTTAAGATGAGTCAGGCCTGTTTGGGAGGCAGAGGCAGGAAGATCTCTTAGTTCCAAGCTAATAGTCTACATTGCCAGTTCCAGGTCATCCAGGGCTACATAGTGAGACCTTGTCTTAAAAAAAACAAAGTTAAATGGTATATGTCCAACACAGAAAAATTTAGATAAGATAATACAAATACAGATTTTGCATTATATATATTCGGCTATGTATATCTAGAACAGTAACACAGATAATGACTTGAGGGAGAAAAACTGAGTATTGCTGACTCAGTGGCACATACCTGTAATCAAGAGTTCAAGGTTATTTTGGGCAGCCTGGGCTAAAAGAAAAAGAAACCAAACCAAAAAAACTTGGAAATATGATTTTTCTCAAGTTAGGAAAGTTTTACAAAGTTTGGTATTATCACCATTGAAATAACTCTAGCATATTCTTATTTTCTTGAGAGTTGGTGCTTTTCTATCAACAGACAAAGGGCCTGGGCTTTAGTACAGACTAGAGTGAGCTTAGAGGAGAACCAAAGAAAATGAGGAAAGAGTTGGAGCAGCAGAAGGTGGGGCCTCCTGTTCTAGAATGTACCCTTCTTAGAATGGCAAATAATGACTTTTTTACTTTTTACTCCTGGAAAGGCTGAAACTGATCATGAGAAAGATGCCAAAAGGATGTGATTAAAAGGAAAAGCCTGAAAAATCCTCTAGAGTTCTTTAAAGGCAATGGTTGATAGCACACGATTGTAATCCCAGCACCAGAGAGACAGAAAGCTCCCTGGGGCTTCATAGCCAGCCATTCTAGCCTAATTGGTGAGCTCAAGAGGATGTTCAAGATTTTCCTCTAGTCTGCACATACACACAAAGCTTAAAAAAGAAAAAAGTGGGCATGGTGGCCCATAATTTTAATCCCAGCAGCGGCTGGTAGATTTCTGAGATTAAGGGCAGCCTGGTCCACAAGTGAGTTCCAAGACAGCAGGGGCTACAGAGAGACCCTGTCTAAAAATAAATAAAATAGGGGCTGGAGAGATGGCTCAGCAGTTAAGAACACTGGTTGTTCTTGCAGAAGCCCCGAGTTCAAATCCCAGCACCCACATGGCAACTAACAACTGTCCATAACTCCAGTCCCAGGGGATCTGACAGCCTCTTCTGTCCTCCGTGGGCATTGCACGACATGGGTGCACTTACCTACATGCAAGCAATACACACATACACATAAAATAAAAATAATAAAATAAAATTAATTAATTAAATTGATTAAATACAGTAAAAAGGATTGAGCAGGGTTTAGTGAGTTCTAGGCCAGCTGAGGCTATAAGGAGACACTGTCTCAAAAAAAAAGCCAGATAGGAATGGATGGATGGATGGATGGATGGATGGATGGATGGATGGATGGATATGTATATAAATTTGCCTGGTGTGATGGTGCATGCCTTTAATCCCAGCACTCAGTAGGCAGAGGCAGGCAGATCTCTGAGTTTGAGGCCAGCCTGATATGCATAGTGAGTTAGACCACTGTAGTTCCAGGCCAGCTGGGACTACAGGAGGACCCTGCCTCAAAACCAGACAAAAAGATTCATCTTGGATCTTCTAAAATAGGTAGAGAAGACCACCAGAATCTGACAAGTCAAAGGCAGTCTTCTAGTGCATCCTGTCTGTGGTGGCTATAAACTTAATGGAAACCCTTTTGGAAAAGATTAGAGGTCTCTGATCTAGAACTTGAGGGTCTCTTGTACCTTTGTTGACCATGTGACCTGGAAGGGGGTTGGTTGTTTGATATTCTGAGGCAGGGTCTCCTGTAGCCCCAGCTGGCCTGAAAGTGGACTAGGCCTTGATCTCCCATGTGCTGAAATTAAAGGCATGCACCATCACACCCCACCCTGGCCTAGTGGTTTTGACAGAAAACAAAACTTAGCAGCTTTTAAAATTTTTGTTCTGTTTTGTTTTGTGAGACAGGGCCTTACTATTTGGCATTGGATTGCTTAGAACTCACTATGTATGCCAAACTCACAGAGATCTGCCTGCTTCTGACTCCCAAGTACAGGTCTTAAAGATGCCACCATGCCCATCTCTCTTTTTTTTTTTAATATTTTATTTTATTTTTTGGTCTTTTTCAGACAAGGTCTCCCTGTAGCCCCAGCTGCCCTGGAACTCACTATGTAGGCTGGCCTCGAACTCACAGAGATCCGCCTGCCTCTGCCTCCCAAGTGCTGGGATTAAAGGCGTGCGCAACCACGCCCAGCTTTATTATTTTTATTTTATGTGTGTGAGTGTTATGCCTGCATGTAGGTAAGTGCACCCGTGTTGTACAATGCCCAGGGAGGGCAGTTGTTAACTGCCATGTGGGTGCTGGGATTCGAACTCGGATCTTCTGCAAGAACAGTCAGTGTTTTTAACCGCTGAGCCATCTCCAGCCCCCATGCCCATCTTTAAAAAAATTTTTTTAATTACATTTTATTTATTCAGAGTGTGTGTGTGTGTGTCTGTGTGTGTGAGAAGATCAGAGGACAACTTTCTGGAGTCACCTCTCTCCTTCAATTATTTGGGTCCTGAGGGTCAAACTTTGATCTTCATGATTGGCAGCAGGTGCCTTATCTACAGAGCCATCTCACTGGCTCTTGACAGCTCATACTTGATTCATGCAATTACTTTTTTTTGTTTTCTCCTTAACAGTTCAAATATAGCTGGGCGTGGTGGTGCACGCCTGTAGTCCCAGTACTTGGGAGGCAGAGGCAGGAGGATCTCTGTGAGTTCAAGGCCAGCCTGGTCTGCATAGTGAGTTCCAGGACATCTGGGCTACAGGGAGACCCTGCTTCAAAAAGATTAAAAAAAAAAAAAAAAAAAAAAAAAAAACTTCAAATATGTGCTTACCTATTCTCTTTTGGGTTAGGGTTCTGCAGCATTCCAGGGCACAAGCACCAAATCAGGATGGGAAAAAGACGTTGTGTTCCTCCACTTGAGCCTAAGTTGGCAGCAGGCTGTTGTGGGGTCAAGAAACCCAAATTATCTGGAAGTGGAACACACAGTCACGGGAACCAGTCCACAACTGTCCCTGGCTCTAGTTCAGGACCTCTTCAAAACCACCAGCATGTGGACAGCAACAGTGGACGGGAGAACGTATCGGACTTAACTCTGGGACCTGGAAACTCTCCCATCACACGAATGAATCCTGCATCCGGAGCGCTGAGCCCTCTCCCCCGGCCCAATGGAACTGCCAACACCACTAAAAATCTGGTGGTGACTGCAGAGATGTGCTGCTACTGCTTTGATGTACTCTACTGTCACCTCTATGGCTTCCCACAGCCACGACTTCCTAGATTCACCAATGACCCCTAGTGAGTAAATCAGGCACAGGACAATGTGGAAGGCATGGTGGTCTCTTTCTGAAGTCTCTATAGAAAGGATCTATCTAAAGTGTTGACATAATTGAAGCAAAGGGTAATGAGAATGTGAGAGGAAATAGCCAGACAGTATTTAGAACATTCAGGTTGCATGGCAGGCTGGAGTCTATGAGCTGGTACTCATTGGGAACTGGTTGTTTTTGTAGTTTTTGTCTGGTCTGGAACTTGCTTTGTAGACCAGACTGGCCTCCACCTCACAGAGAACTGCCTGCTTCTCCTCTTCCTCCTGAGTGCTGGGATTAAAAGTGTTCTCCACCACGCCCAGCCGGGGCTGATGCTTTTACTGAGGGTCGCCTCCACTGTGTTCATTGACAGTGTCATGGTAATCCCAGGGCCCACTCACACCCCATCAAAAAAGTCAGAATCAGAGCCAGGCATAGTGGATCACATCTAAAATTTTAGCACTTGGGTGGCTGAAGCCACCCTTGGGCTTCAGTGTTGGTTCTGTCTCAACCAGAAAGTCAGAAGCAGCTTTACTTTTTGTATTTCTGAACTCTGCATTTGTCCCAAGATCTCTAAAGGTGTCAGTGGTGTCCTTAAACAGTTTTTTTCCTTCTTCCATTTCATGTGTGTGCTGTACGTGTATGTGGGGGTTGGGGTTGGCATGTATTTGCATATAGATGTGAAGACCCAAGGTTGATGTTGGGAATCATCTTCAGTGCTTTTCTACCTTATTTCATTGAGGCAGGATCTCTCAGTCAAACCCAGAGCTGGTGTATGGCTAATCTCACTAGCCAGCTTGGGATGGGAAATCTTTTGTCTCCACCTTCCGGAAGTACAGGTGGGCAGTTGGACCACTTGGATTTATGTGGGTTCTTGGGGTCTAAGTTCTGTTCTTCACACTTGCATAGTAAGCACTTTATTTATTTTTGGTCTCTTTGAAACAGGGTCTCCCTGTAGCCCCAGCTGTCCTGGAATTTGCTATGTAGACCAGGCTGGCCTTGAACTCACAGAGATCTGCCTATCTCTGCCTCCCGAGTGCTGAGATTAAAGTTGTGTGCCACCATACCCAGCTGCGTAGCTAGCACTTTAACCAGACCATCTCCCCATCCCATTAAACAGTAAAGTGTAAGGTAAAGTGAAGAAGGCATGCCAGTATTTTTTTTCCTCAAAATTGGGAGCAGCAACTTTGTACTGGCTTTGAAGAGCATTGTTGCTTTTTGATTTTTGTTTTGGGGGGAATGCTTTTGTAGTATTCATTGATCTAAGATTATTCCTCAGCTGTTGTTACTGTTGATACTGAGAAATAGAGAGCCCTGTGCAGAACTAGGGCACATAAAGAAAAAGTTCTTGCTCCTGGGATACTCATCCTTGAGTTGGGAAGCCACACACACACATACAGAGGAGTAAAAGGATAGTTACCCAGACTGAGTGCAATCAGGAAATCTGAAGAAAAATGAGCTGACTCTCTGAGATAGTGTGCTGTGATCAGAACATTCCCAGTGATCCAGTGGAAATTCTAAGTCTGAGTAAGATATAGTCAAGGGCTGTTGGACCTTGTATTTCCAACCTATGGAGAGTAGATTCTTAAGTTTTTTAAAAAGTTTGAGACCAAAGCTTTGACTGGTGCCTTCCAAGCACGTATTAGAGAGAAATGAAGGGAGGTGAGAAATATGTCTGCTGGGGACCTTTGTAACAACGATGTAGGGAGAACTGGGAACGTGGTTCAGTGAGTAAAGCATTTGCCAAAAAAGTGTGAGAACCTAAATTCAGATCCCCTAGAACCCATGTAAAGCCAAATGAAGGGGGGATAAGGGGAGCCTGGACAGTGGCTCAGTGTCATAGAGCACTAGCTGCTTTTAGAGAGGACTTGTTTGTTTCCCAGCACCCAGATGGTGACTAACAGCCATCAGTAACTCCAGTTCAAAGGGATTCCACTCTCTGGCATCTGAGAGCACTGTACATGCATATGCACTTTCATGTAGGCAAAATACTCATGCGCATAAAATATTAATTAATTGGCACTTTCCTTAATAAAGCCAGACATGGTAGCACACATCTGTAATCTCAGCACTCCTAAAGCAAGATGGAGGGCAGAGACAGGATTGTCCTCAAATACTTAAAGAACAGCTAGCCTGGACTATGTAGCAATGAAAATGAAACTGGTTTCAAACACTGTGGGGGTTAGAAGACTGATACCTGAGGCTGTCGTCTGACCTCCACTCGTATGCCAAAAATGCTTTCTCAACGGAATTTTTCTCTTCCAAGAAAATGTGCAGGGACTATGTAGTTTATCAGGAGTAATAATTATGGGATCAATGACTGAAGTCTTGTAGAGAATGCCTACAGGTGAGGAAGTGAGGTGCTGGCAAAATGTGTCCTCATGAAAAAGCCCATACATGGTATCTGAACTAGAGGGGACCTGTGAGAGTGGAGCATAGGAAAGGCTACCCAGAGAGATTTTCCTGTTTCATGTTTCCAGCTAGGGTTGAGCAACTTGCAGAAAGGCAGAGTTCTTCAGATGCCTGGTAATACAGAAAGTCTTGGGCAGTAACAGAAAGAATAAGAATGTGTCCATAATTAATCTGGGGCTGGAGAAATTTTATGTTTTGCTTTTTTTAGTCCACTCTTTGTGACCTGGAAGACAGGGCGGGACAAGCGGCTTCGTGGCTGCATTGGGACGTTCTCAGCCATGAATCTTCATTCAGGACTCAGGGAATATACGTTAACCAGGTAATGACACATGAAAAATTGTGCTTAAGTTAACTAGAATTGGAAACAGCTGCCTAGCATCATTTCTTCTTAGCATCATTCCTGTTTGCTAATCAGGAGATATAATACATTAGTCTGGTGAATTCCCAATCTGTTCCTGAATAAACAGTATTCAAATTAGTGTTGTTGGCTGGGACATGCTGTCTGAGCATCTCAGGATTCAGTTGTGTGGACTTTGTGGCATATGACATTGGCTCCTAACTGGAGGCAGCCTCACTTATGTTTTCTGTCCCTTTCTAGTGCACTTAAGGACAGCCGATTTCCCCCCTTGACCCGAGAGGAGCTGCCCAAACTTTTCTGCTCTGTCTCCCTCCTTACTAACTTTGAAGATGCCAGTGATTACCTGGACTGGGAGGTGAGAACAGCTGCATTTGGAACTCTGCATCTCTCGTTGCATTTGGGTTCGGGTTAGTACATGGTAATGTATCTCCTTCATTGAGAGAGGGTCTAAGAGTGTAAAAGCTGATTTTGGAACCAGTCGTGGGCCACATAGGTGACAGAAAAGGTGCTCCTCTATTGGGAGTAGGAAGAAATGTAGATGTCAGAACTCTCTGCTCTCCTTCCCAGTCTACTCTGTTCTGGATCCAATAAGATCTTTGTGGTTGTAGTCCTTCTCCAGTGTCTAGTTATGAACTAATATTAATCCCCACACTTGGGAGGCAGGGGCAGATGGATCTCTGTAAGATCAACGCAAGCCTGTTGTACCTAATGAGTTTCAGGCTAGCTGGGCTACAGGGAGATCCTGTCTCAAACAAATGATAGCCAGACATGGTGGTACATACCTTTAATCCCAGCATTTGGGTGGCAGAAGCAGGCAGATCTAGGAGTTCAAGGCCAGCCTGGTCTACATCAAGAGTTCCAAGCCAGCCAGTGGTACATAAGATCCTGTCTTAAAAAAAGAAAAAGGGGGGCTGGAGAGATGGCACAGTGGTTAAGAACACTGACTACTCTTGCAGAAGACCCAGGTTCGATTCCCAGCACCCACATGGTGGCTATGAACCGTCCTTAACTTCAGTTCCAGGGGACTCTGAAGCCCTCTTCTGACCTCCACAGCATTGCACGACATGGGTACACTCACATGCAGGCAATACACTCATACACATAAAATAAAAAAATAATAATTTTTTTTGAAAAGACTGTAGAGAAAGTGAAAAAGAGGGAGGGAGGAGAGAAGGAGAACAGAAAATATTCCAGATCCCACTTAAGTCCCTAGAGAGAAGTTTTTAAACTTTTTGGGTAAGCTATTTAAAGACAGGCTTCACATTCTCAGGGAGGCAGCTACACATACATTTGATCTTTCCATTAAACTGAACTTCTTTGGCCTCTAGACTTAAGAATTAATTAATGATTTGAAAAAGATTTTCCTTTTCCCAGACCTGGGTCAAGCAACTCACAAGACAGTGGCCATTTATACGTGAGTGATTGAAGTTCCATTAAAATAAGTAAATGCCATTTACTTGGTTGTGTTTTTCTGCAGGTAGGGGTGCATGGGATTCGGATTGAATTCATCAATGAAAAAGGTGTCAAGCGCACAGCCACATACTTACCTGAGGTGGCTAAGGAACAAGGTGAGTTGGACAAATGAGCATTTAGAGAACTGTACCACTCACAGCCATGCCAGTTAAAGGGCAGGAAAGGGAAGTGTTCATCCACCAAGAGTGAATGCTTTTCTTCCTCTTAATTCCTGTCATATTCCTATAGGACAAAGGCAAACTCCCCAGAAGACATAGAAACTGGAAAAAGATAGGAGAAATACACACCTTCTTTACCTGCTTGCTTGTTTTGAGCACGTCCTTGCAATGAGTAGTTCTGTTTCTTTGCCCCTCGAGTTTCAGTTGTCATAACAAAATCCCAGCAACCAGCTCGACCATACTGTAGTGTTTGTTAGGAAGCAAAATCCTATTAGACTTCTAACCACAGTGGCAGAGGAAAAATGTCCTCCCTTAGTTAATGAGGACAGTAAAGGTAGGAACTGGGTTGGGCAGATTTTCTCTTTGAAAGAATATCTAGAATTCCTTTAACTGTTACTTGTGCTTTATAGGATATGTAACCCCATTTTCTTTCTTTCTTTGAATTAGTCTGTTTTTTAAAATAATATGTGAAACACAATAATTGTTGGGTGTGAACCTAGAATAGAGAAGAAAATCCAGTTAAGTATATTAGTGAACTACTTATGTGGAAAGTGATTGCCTTGTTGGTTTCCATTGTGGTTGTGTTTAAATTTGTTCAAAAGCAGTATGATTGTAACATTAAAAGGATGCATTTTGAGACATTTGTCAGGTCATATAAATCTAACATCTTCCTTCCTGTTCAAGAAGAAATATCATAAGTATTTTTAGTGGTTACATGCGATTATAGCTCAGTTAAATAATTCTTTCAAATTGTTTTTGACATTTGAAAGTTAAGAAAATTCAAAATTGAGAACTCCTGTGATAGTTTGAGGGGGTTGTTTTTTTCAACTTGACGTCTACTTGATTTTTATCTGTTAAAATGTATAAATTTGAGGGGCTGGAGAGGTAGTTCAACGGTTAAGAGCATGTACTGCTCTTGCAGAGGACTCAGCATTCACCTTGGGTATCTCTCAACTTCCTGTTACTCCAGCTCTAGGGCCTCTTGTGAGAACCTTCAGTCAGGTTCATGTACCCACACACAGGCGTGTACATGTAATTAAACATAATAAAGAGGGCTGGAGAGATGTCTCAGCAGTTAAGAATACTGGTGGTTCTTGCAGAAGACCCAGATTCGAATCCCAGCACCCACATGGCAGCTAACAACTGTCCATAACTCCAGTTCCAGGGGATCCAGCAGCCTCTTCTGTCCTCCACAGACATCACACAACATGGGTGCACTTACCTACATGCAGGCAATACACGCATACACATAAAATAAAAATGTTTTAAATATATTAAAAAAATAATAAAGAAGGGACTAAAAAGATAACTGATCATGGTGGCACACAACTTTAATCCTCGAAATCAGAAGCAGGTGGATCTCTGAGTTTGAAGCCAGTCTGGTCTACACAGAGAATTCCAGGATAATCAGGGCTGCATAGTGAAATCCTATCTTTAAAAAATAAAAATTGGTAAGAGTGGTTGCAGAGTACCTGGGTTTTTCCCCAGCACCCACTTGGCAGCTGTAACAACTGTTTGTAACAACAGTTTCAGGTCATACCCTCTTCTGGTCTCTGTGGGTATTGTACACCTGGGTATAAATACATGTAGACAAAACAGTCATGGCCATAAAAATAGTATTTTTAATTTTTTTAAAGAAACTTTTTTTTTCTTTTTTGTCTTATTTGAGAAAGGCTCCCTGTAGCCCCAGCTGTCCTGGAACTCACTATGTTGACCAAGCTGGCCTTGAACTCATAGAGATCCACCTGCCTCTGCTTCCTGAGTACTCCCACGCTCAGCTAGAAACCATCTTTTGCCGGGGGGGGGGGGGGTCTTATTGAGACAGAGTCTCCCTGTAGCCCCAAAACTCACAGAGATCTGTTGCCTCTGCCTCCCAAGTGCTGGGATTAAAGGTGCATACCATCACTCCTGGCAAGATTGTTTTAAATGAGACAGATAGCCTAGTGGTTAAGAGCACATACTGCTCTTGCAGAGGACCCAAATTCAGTTTAGGTGGCTTATGACCATCTGTAATTCCAGCTCACTGCCTTCACATGCATATACTCACACTCAGACACAAATATACATAATTTAAAAAAATAATAAATCTTTAAAATATATACGGGGGGCATGCTGGAGAGATGGCTCAGTGGTTAAGAGCTCTGGCTGCTCTTGCAGAGGACCCCAATTCAGTTCCTAACATCCACATGGCTGTTAACAACTGTCTGTAGCTACAATTCTGGAGGATCCAGTGCCCTTTTCTGACCTCCGTGGGCATTGTATGACACAGGTGCTCTTACATACATGCAGGCGGTACACTCACACATATAAAATAAAAATATAAATAAATTTTTTTTTTTTTTTTGGTCTTTTTGAGTCAGGGCCTCCCTGTAGCCCCAGCTGTCCTGGAACTCACTATATAGACCAGGTTGGCCTTGAACTCACAGAGATCTGCCTGCCTCTGCCTCCCAAGTACTGGGATTAAAGGTGTGCGCCACCATGCCTGGCCTCTAAATAAATAAAATATTTTTAAGGAAAATGATATTTGAGGCAGGAGAGATGGCTCAGTGGTTAAGAACACTGGCTCTTCTTGCAGAGGACCCAGATTAAGTTCCCAGCACCCACCCGGTGGTTAACAACTGTACTCCGGTTCCAGGGGAATCAGATGCACTCTGATATAAATGATCAGACTGAAGGAAGAATGCTTAAGAGTGTAGAAGCCACAGAATTTAAATTCCCTTTGTAGCTGGAGATCTAGCTCAGTGGTTAAGAGCGCTTATTGTTCTTCCAGAGGACAGGAGTTCAGTTTCCTGCAACTGTTGCAATACATTTCTGTCTCATTGCAGTGTATATGCTAAAGGTCAACTTAGGCAACATAGTGAAATCCAGTCTTCCCATTAGAACAGTTATGGGTACTAGCATGAGACCAGAAGGCCAATGGGACCATATTTGTCACTTGATAATTATACTGAGGTGACAGCTGATAGAAACCATGCAGGAACAGGGAGCCTGGGGATAGTGTTATGGCATATAGTAGGTTATAGTGTCATGTCACAGCGTCTCCATTGGACTGTCAGTGAGGTAGATGGTCTTCTAGTATGTGGGTCATGGCCCAGGGCTCCTTTGCCCAGCACACTTGACTGTTTCTTGAGTCCCATTTATCTTCCTGCACTGGTCATATTGGAACTTGTTCTTCTGTTTGATTATGTGCTGTACTTATTGTGGCCTCTGTTCTCAGACTGGGATCAGATACAGACAATAGACTCCTTGCTCAGAAAAGGTGGCTTCAAGGCTCCAATTACCAGTGAATTCAGAAAATCGATCAAACTCACCAGGTAAGCCTCTTTTTCATTCTTGTTAATTTTCCTTTGGTGTGGGGGTTGGATAGAAGATATTTTTAATAGGGGAAGAAAATAGTCTGTCTGCCCCTAAGTCAAAGAAGTATGTGTGAGATTGAGAGAGATGCTAGGGAAGCAGTGGCTGTAGAGGTGGAGACTCCAGCATCCCCTGTGTCTCCACAGCTGGGCCAACAAGTTGGAGGAGGATTAGACCTGCAGTGCTAGGCAAGGGTTCCTGGACTGCCATAGTCATGTTTGGGAAGCTGAGGGGCAAGTTGAAGTTAGGAGGTAAGACTCTGGGGATGTAAATCTAGGGTCAGTTGAGGTATTTCTTCCTAACCACAGTGTAATCATGTGACAGGGGATGCTGGAGAGTCAGAGATGTACTTACAAGGAGTTGAAAGGATCTCATTTGGGAGACAGTACTGTTAGGGAAAACCTGACTAGTTTCATAGACCACATACTGACTTGGGCCAGTTATTTTACCTCCCTGAGCTGTATCCTGTGTGAAAGATATGAGTGCTAATTCCTTCAGATTTTGGGACATGGTAAGGTAAGGAATAGAGTTTCCAGCCCAGGGCCAGGGCAGTACTGAAGGTGCTCAGTGGATGTCAGTGTTCTTTCCCTTCCTGCTAACACTGGGAACACTTGACAACTTAGCTTCAGTGGGCCTTTATTAGGACCCTCATCTGCAAAATGCTGAGTCGTCATATGCTAGCCCCACATGTCTGTTTGGAAGATAACCCAGTGTTTTTAAATGCTTTGGATTTCAAAAATCAAGGGGCTGGGACTGCAGCTCAGTGGTATCAGTGCATAATGCATAGCATGCTCAAGGCCCTAGGTTCCATCTCCAGCACCAAAAACATTTTTTAATTAAAATAAAAACACTGCAAATACAAAGCATTATTACTATTATTATTACAATTTATTTGAACAGCCATTTCCCTGTCAAAATTCAGGAATAATCACCTTGCAGTGGAGGAGTGATTACAGTGGGAAAGAGATGGCTCTGGGTAAGGATTGTCACCCAGCTCCTGTGGTCTGTAGTAGGCTCCATAGGTTTGTAACACCCATGCTTTGCATCCTGACTCATGGCTCTTTCCAGAGCAAAGCCAAAGTGCTATGAATTCTGTTCTGATGACCCTGTGATATGGCATATTCATCTGGGGATTGAGACCTACCTATAGCCAAGGATCCATTAATCTGCTTCATCAGAATTTGACCCAGAATTAGGTATCTATGCCCCTTTTAGTTATAACTTGTTTGTTGCTCTTCTACAAATTGAGGTTGCATTTTTGTCAAATTTATCTCATTTTTAACCTGAACATAGATACGCAGTTTACACTGGGTTTTGGTGCAGTCATCTTCCAATCTGCCACCCATGTAATTTGACCTTGAAATTTCTCATCCAGATGTGGGTAGCAGATTGCTTACAAGCAGCCCATTATAAGCACATGTAGCATTTTGAGGTGGGATGTGCTGAGATACAGTCTCAGGGTGAACTGTAGTTGTGCTTTTTCATCTTGTTCATTTGTAATAACAGCATCGTTTTCTTGTGCCGTCTTTCATTTTCTGTAAGTAAGATTGCTCTTGGTCTTTCATTTTATTCTTTCAAACTGTGGGGTAAGCTTTTGGTTTTCTCTGCTGAGCAGACTTCACACTGAGATGCTTGGGGTTCCTAATACCTTTGCTTATTTCCTCATACAGGTATCGAAGTGAGAAGGTGACAATCAGTTACGCAGAGTATATTGCTTCTCGACAGCACTGTTTCCAGAATGGCACTCTTCATGCCCCGCCCCTCTACAATCATTACTCCTGACACACGGCTGCATGACCAGTCCCACCCCCCTGTTGCCGCCAATGGCTATGACATCATTGGAACAGATGCCTCCTCTTCCTGGTCCAGTTACTTCTATTACTGCACCATTTTATGATGCTAGCTTCCGTTGCCAAGTCTGCCTCCTGCTGACTGAGGGGTGGGGGTTACATTGAATGCAACAGAACTTGAGGGGCCCAAGCCTTATATCAGCCTTTCCTCAATCTGGGGTTCCTTTGGATTGAGGCTCCTCCATGACCAGGGAGAAAGACTGGGTTCAAAAGACCCTTGTCTGGTGATTTCCCACATGTGTTGGGTACACACTGAAGGCTTGGATTGATCATGGAGGCTTCCTTCCCCAACCCCCACAGCCTTCCCAGGTCAAGTAGGTGTACTCCCCTGGCAGTCTGGGCAACGGAGACCAACATGAACCATTTTTAGGTTGTTTTAAATTCCTTTTTTAAAACTTCCAGTTTATTGTGTACCAAGAGTTGATCACAACCTCCATGCTTCATAAGCAAACACCATATTAGGGTTGAATGTGGGCACCATGAGCCCTTCAAGGCTCCTGGACAAGAGACCCAAACCAAAATCAGAAGCCCTGTGGATGGCATTGCAGATCCCGTTGCACAGTAAGCCATGAAGGTTTTAATGCTTGCCCCACTTGGCAGGATTTCCTGGTACTCTTTCTGCATCGAGTCTCCTGGTTTTGGAACAGAGCTCTGTGATATAGCCTGCTGAGGAATGGAGTAGAGATGCCCATGGAGGTCCTGATGTCATCACCATGAGCAGATGTGAAAGGAGAGGCCTCTTCCACACCACCTGGCTACCTCAACCCTCTTCTGGTAGCAGTGCCTATGTAGCTGGATCTTGGTTCTCAGAAGCACAGATGTGTAAACAGGCAGTTAAGAGTTGAGTTGGGCTTTAGGACACATTGCATCCAGAGTCTCTGAGCTCATTTTCTTCACAGGCACATATCCTAAGGGACCTGTAAGTAGAGGAATTCCTTTTTTTGATTTGCCTGTAGAAGTGGGAACACTTGATAGTTCAGTCCTCAATTAGACTTTAGAACAAAGCTGTGTAATAAAAAGAGGTGAATCTTTATCTTGCCTACCATGCTGGGAATCTTCACCCCACCAGGGCACATGTTCAAATTGCTCACATTGCTCATTTAAACTCTGTTGTGACATTCCTTTCCTGTCATTACTCATTTCTGAATAGCTGTCAGCAAATCCTCCCTTGCCTATCCTTCACTTGCTTAGTGGCAAAATTTACAGTACTAGGGAACTTGGAGATGGTCTGAAAGCTGTGTGTCAAAGGCACTGCTAAGGCAGTTCACAGGAAGGAGGTGGTCAGCTGGAAGAACGGATCCTGAGGATATACTGATTTCCAGCAACATGCATAGAAAACTAAGGTGGATCGGGTGTCAACCCAGTGAACACTATTGGATTTCTTTTTCAGAGTTGATGTGATGGTGTGGCTTTCCAAAAAGAGAAAAATATTCAAAAGATTTTTTGAGTTTCCTCTGCCAGGAATGGAGAGGGAGAAGTGGGGACACTTCCGTGTGCTACTCTAGGTGTCACCCTCTCAAGTTCCTGGGCAGTTGGGGGTTTGTGTTACTGGTGAGTGAGGACCTGGGATTGATGAGGGAGGTGCCAGTGATATGGGAGTGCCCAGGGTTCACCCCCCTCACTGCCAGGTTGGGTTCCTTCGTGTACAGGAATGTGAAAGGGTCTCATGTAATCCTGCCGCTGAAGGTAGTGAAGGTCATGTTAGAGGCAGGTATGACAGCAGGTGCTCTCAGGTGCCATGGATTGATGTCAGGGTGATCAGCTCTGGACTGAGCCACCCACCTCCAATTTGTACAACAGTATTGATACATAGGGCTACACTCATCACTGTTCAAGTATTCTATGTTAAAAGTTGTGTTTAATTTCTAAAGATTTAAAAAACAAAAAGCAAAAAAAAAAAAAATGGTGCTAAACTTCACCCCTGAGCACGCTCAGTGAGACTGGTCATGCAAGCATCTACAGTGCCATGCTCCTCAAGCCTGTTAGTCTTGTAGAAATGTTGCCCTATCTGTCTTCCCCAATGTATAGTATGTATTTTATTTTATTGAAGGTGGGGTAGAAGACCTGCCATTTAAGAAAATGAATAGAAAAATTTTAAACCCAAGAAATAGGGGGAAAAAATTAGTGCACAAGAATCGGGCTGGCGAAGCCCAGCACCACACTGAAGTGGGCTCAGTGGTTTCGGAGTGAAGAAGCCTTACTCCCTGCACATTCCATCATGCTCCCACATAAGTCCAGCAGTGGAAACACTGAGTTCTTCTGCCTTGTCAAAGGGGCCTCGGGAGTCAGGCAAGGGAAACTCTTTAGCCCAGAAAAAATGGGCTGTGTTGGTGTCTGCCCTGGCTGGGGCCTACTCCTTCAGGAAGCAGTCTGGAAGTGCGTGGTCATGGTCACCTCATGGAAACGTGTGGTAGGTGGCTCTCAGGAAAAAAAATACCAAGTGTGGATTTTCCACATGGTGGCTTTTCATAGGGAGATAGCACTCTGAACTGGAACTGCCTTCCACACGTTGACCAAAGTAGTGATGAGGGTGGCCAGTACAGGCCAAGTAAATGGTAGGTAGTGGAAAGGGAATGTTTTCCTGCCTGGTGTTTCCTTTGACCTTGGGCCACTGTGCTGAACCAGAGGTCTCCACTGTTGTCAAAGAACCAGCCCAACTCTGCTGGCCTGGAGTTTGTTTCATCCCTAGCTGTGAGTGCCTTTTGGTCTTGAAAGTTGGCTTGTCTCATCATACCCACAGCTAGGACATTCTCTGTAATTATTGTCCTTGTTTTACCTGAGCTAAAAGAGAATGTCTTTGATCACTAGAGTTTGTTAGTGTTGGGTTGTTTCCACTGTGAGGTTCTTAAAACTTTTTCGCTTCATAATATTCAAACAACTCATGTTAGACCCTTTCCATATGAAAGGTTTGTAGTTGAGATGTTACATATATTTTACTGTTTATAATAAAAAAATCATCTATACAAAAGTCCTGGGTGTTAATTTTAATACTTTGCACAAGATGTTTTCCATGATATGTTAACACAGTTTCACTAACAATATTATTTTCTACTGAGATTTCTGAAGCCTAGGAAGCTACATGTTCATTTTGAATTTTTGTTTTCATTTTATTTCTCTGAAGCAAGAGACTGTATGGCCTTCAGTGCAAAGACTTCAGACCAATTCTTTGTACTCTACTTGGTTGCCTCTTGGCTATATAACTTCTGAGTGCAAATCATCAAACTCTTTAATGAAGTATTGTAGAGAATAAATCATAATGGGTAAAAGCTGTTGTCTGCCTCAATTTGTAACCAGGTGACTTGAATTATCTAAAATAGCAATTTATTTTTCTATTGCTAGCGATCTTATAAAATACTTTTACTAATCCTTTGAGATTGTCATATAATTATTTTGATGATATTCACACCAGTTTCCCATCTTTCTACACTCCCCCCATGTCCTCTATTAATATTTTTAAGGTCTACGAAGTCTAATTTGTGTTCCTCAAGATCCTGTGAGTGTGGGTCCATCCCCTGGAGCATGGTCAGTCTAACCAGCATGACACCTTTAATGAAAATTGACTCAGCAGCTATCAATTGCCAGTGGTTCCTCAGCTGGGGCTGGAACTTCTTGCTCACCTTCCTTAATGCTAGATTTTTGTCTGGCTTGGGCTTGCACTGTGGGCTCGTGTGCACACTGCCATATGTGGGAAACATGGTTTCTTTGTAGTCATCTACCACCTCTAGCTGTTAAATCCCTTCCCTCCTTCCACAGTGATCCCTTAGCCTTGGGCAGAGAGGGTGTGGTGCAATTGCCTGTTGACCAGTTGTTGGTCTCTTAAATCACCATCTCCTGCAAGAAGCTTCTCTGGTGAGAGCTGAGAGATGCATTAATTTATGAGTATATTAAGTCATTAGGAGTTGGCTTGATATGCCCATTTAGCAGGTTGTTGGGGAACCCTGCTGTTAAGGTTGGCTCCTTTCTCAGCAGGGGTTTCCTGCCTGACTTAGCTGGAAAGTGCTGCCAAGCATGGATGCTTGGCCTCATTTAAAACATGACCTTTGGCATAGTTACCTGGAGTAAAAACTACCCCCAGGTTTTTTCTATATAATAATTAGGCATTGCCCAATAGTCGGATGATAGGATCCTACTGCCACATGTAAATAAAGCATACTATGAGTAACTATCAGCTAAAGCATTGGCTACTGCCTCCACACTATATTTTCCCTAACCCGCACTGAATAAACGGAGCTGTTTCACTGAGTCTGGAGCTGTTTGTATCACTGAACCTGCCTCCCCGGAGGGGTTTCTTCCGTCAATGCTCACTGGCCATCCCTTGCTTCTGCTCCCTTTGTCCTCGTGGGCCAGTGGCCAATGAACCATGAGGAAAGGGAGAGGCCCCACAGCAGGTTCTCCCCCATAGCCTGTGATCTGCCAGCCACAGGTTCTTGGCTCTGATAACAGTGCCAGGTATGCCCATCTTGGGATGGTGCAGGCCTTAAATCCATAGCCAGCCAACCAGATAAGAGTTGTATAGCTCTATCATACACATATATATAACTAAAAGTTACTTGACAAACAGCAAAGCCAGACAGGTGACACCTTCAGTCGAGATGTTGGCCAGGATAAAGGCTCTTCCAGACAGTAACCCAACATACTACAGGAAAAATGAACAGCAGACCCCAATTCTATCCAAAGGAATACTG